CGATGGAATGAAAAATTCACCAGGGAGTGATACGACTACCCAGGGTGCGTTACTTCTGCCCAATGCATGCTGGGATATCCTCCAGCACCCCCTGTGACCCAGATCAGGAATAAGAGGATGAAAATTCAAGACGTTGGGAAAATGGCCATTTTAAAGCTAAATATGAGCCTGAAGACTCATGTTCAGCGTGCTGTGAATATTTACATGCATTCCATTTAAACCATGTAAAACCTGTTGCCCAGAGACACCATCAAAATAATATGCACTTCACTAGACCACAACATCCGTAGGACATTACCTCTCCCACACAAATCGAGGTCACCTTTGCTTACCTAAGTGGGTATGGTGGCCCTGTGTCAGGATTTCTCCACAGATTTCCGCATGATATTCGTTTGTCTGTGGGTGTAACGTCATTCTGGTGCTAAAACGATAAACAGCCTTTTTTGGGCAGTGAGCAGAAGAGATGTTATGAGTGTCTTTTTAAGGGTCTTCCAAACAGTGTATGCACCTGCGGGGGCATATGTGAGTATATGCGTGTGTGTGCGCATGTTTACTCTGATGCAGGTGCGTGCACTGGGGGGTATATTGACGATGAACTCTCTTCAACATACAACTCAACCTCGCATTCAGAGAACACAGAAATTCAAATAACATCAAAGAGTAGAGAGAGAGAAATATGTACTTCATGCTCAGAATTAATAAAATGTATTTTTTAATACAACAAGACTAATTACTTCACATTGAAAAAGGTGGGAAAAAAATTAAAAACACAAAAATATTTCTCTGCCACGTATATAACCATTACAATGATGAAAGTGAATTTACTGCACATTTAACTCACAGAATATTCAAAATGGACAAGAATACATAGACTGATATCAACTCGGTGAAAGTAGAGAATTGTTTTCCCACACTAAAATATGAGGAAGGCATCGCTCATGTAATTTAAGAGATGAGATGCACTTTGATAAAGCAGTGCCTGTGTACACACGGGCACCACCGCTGTGCTGCGCATCAGTGAGACAGTGGCACAAAACAGGAAATATCTGCTCCCTGAATGAGGGAAATATTCCAGAAAGAATGCGAGAAGATACAGGTCTGATTTGGGTTTGTGAAAGACATGCATTTACACTGCTATTTAATCAACATAGTTTATTTATAAACCCTCTTTTGGGTTCATTTTTTGTTCCAAATGTTTCATCATATTACTTTCCTATCCTGCAGACGAGTGCCTCTAAATGGCCTGGAGTTTCATGAAGGGCAGCTTTGTCTGTCGAATGAAGTTAAAGGATAACAAACACGAGTTTACTTTTCTCAATTTGCGCCAGAATGATTTTTTATTTTATTTTTTTGTCATTGAATAGTTTGTGTGAGCGCTAGTTTGGAAGAATTGTCCAAGATGTTTACCCCCTCAGAAAGCAATTTTCTGAAGGGGAATTGTTGTCCTCATGTTTCTCAGTCCATCTGTGTGTGTGTGTGTGTGTGTGTGTGTTTGTGTATGTGTGTGTCCGTAATAAATGTAAAAAAACGCGCATGCGCAATGTAATACCTATTTGCACCACTGGGGGCTGCAGTGTCGTAACAACCAGCACCGAGGGGGTGTTAAGTGCCAAAGAACATTAGCTTTCCTCCGGCAATGAAACACCATTCTTTTTCAGAACAGTATGTGAGTAATTGTTTTGTCTGTTGAACATGTCTCAAATACTTCTCAGAGCGCATTGTGAGTCACCGCATGGTCCTCAGGGCACAGAATCACACGGATGGGATACGGTAAGTACAGAAACGGTAAGTACGCGTGCGTTGCGACAAAGCAGATTCATACACAGATTCAGTTTCAGATTTTTACCGTCCTGCATGAGAAATCTGTCCTGCAGCATGGCGTGGATTAAAACAAACATTGCACGATAAAACCGTGGACAGAACAATAAAACAGTAAACAAGAGAAAAAGAACACGGAACAATAAACAGATTAATCAAAAGCAATAAATATGCATGAAGTGACAAATAATGTAAAGTGATTAAAACATCAGAAAAAATGAAACAAGACACAACAACAAAGGCTGGATTAAGCACTCATTTTAAAGTGCAAATTAAAAGTTTAATTCACGGTGATAGTTTAAGGCCCACGTTCCTCACAGTGAAAAATTGTCTGAGTCTATTGCATCATGGGAAGTCTGCTCCTTCTTCCTGATTGGAGCAGTTTGAATAGCTCACATAAAAGGAGGGACTGTCGATGATTTTACTCGCTTTTAGCCACACCCTCCCGTCGAAAATCTCAGTGTTGACAGCTGCTGACCAATAATCCTACTGGCAAATTTAACCTATACAAAAAAAAAAGTTTTAAAGCTTGTAAAAAGTAAAAAAAAAAAAAAAAAAAAATTTAAAATTCAGTGCTTCAGGGCTGGTCTCCATGTCTCCCCTGAGGATCGATGTGCTGTTTGGCGTGGGCGGGGAGTCAGTGAGAATGAGTCTGTGCTCTCTGGTCTGTACTGAGCTGACCAATACAAATGACTCTCCTTGTGACATCGAAAGGGGTCATGTTTTTGTGAAAGATTACACCACTCTCCCAGCGCTGCATGTATACAACAATACCCAAAAGCCAGCTGTGATGCAAGGCTGATACACACTTTGTGAAACAGGCAAAGTATCAGATGTTAGTCGAGGCATTTCAGCAGCCTCGTGTGTCCATTTAATGTGAGCACTGAATATGCACAGGTACCACATACACCTAAGAACTGCAAGTGACGTCTGCACTTGGACAATGATATAATCTAGAAGAGCTGTGGTTCCAGCTCAGCTTCCTCCATGTGCACATAAATAGGACAAAATAAAAGCAGAGAACCTGCAGTGCATTTCTGCAAGCTGTGAACTGTCTGGTATGTACAGCCATTTTGTACATTTGCCATCCAAAACATTTATGGAAGTCGCTATACATTGTATGAACCACACATCTGAACAACACCACAAAGAATTTGGCTTTTATCTTCAGAAAAATATTGTACCTAAGCAACATAAGACGTCCCCCTTTGTTCTAAAAAAATCCCTGTTGAAGCAGCGCTTGGGTCATGTTTCCCTGATGAATTCTAGAACATGCAGTTTTCCTTTGTTTATTAATTACAAAGTTAGTTGAACACACAAAAATTACAGTGAACATCAGAGTGTGTGCTCTGAAGATCACATAGCAAGAAAATTTAAGCTCCTGGGCAATCATTCTCAGCATTTTTGCACATCAGGAGGTGGGGCCTCTCAAATCAAAAAATCAAGAATATTCCTGTGTTTTGTTGTTGCTTCACAATTCAAATATAGTATGTGACTGGATTCCTTGGTAGTCCAAATCCGGCTACAAATGAACATAGAAGGAAACATAGAAGGAGTCCAACCGAGAAACTAGCTGACTTGCTTGTTGGTGCTAAACGCTGATAATCTCGGCAGGATGTCAGAGTTTTGGAGTTCAAATCAGAACCAAAATCAACCGAGCATGAAAATCGCTCAATAAGGCACAGATTTTGACATTCGGTGTACGATTTACAGGCGGTAGGATCAGCTCTTCACTACAGTCATCAATCTGAATGAGTTGTTTTAGCCTTGACAAGATAGTTAAGTTGTCATATTAATCTGTCGACTGCCAACTTGACCAGCCAGCAGGTCATATCAGCTTTGATGCAGAGAGGCTGTTGAGTCCCGGGAAATAAAAGTTTGTCGGGTGGAAATGGGGTTATTTTTACCCTCAGGCTCTATGGGAGGGCAGCTCTCTCTGAATGGGAGGGAGGGTGATCGCTAAAAAACTCCCCCCACCATGTTTGTCAGGGCTGCCCAGCCCTGTTCCTGAAGATCTGTAGTCTAGAATATGTAGTATTTAGCCTCAACCCTAACAAAAAAACACCATATTCAGCAGGAACAGGGCTGTCCAACCCTTTCTCTGGAGATCTACCATCCCGTAGGTTTTCACTCTAACCCTAACAAAGTACACCTCAATCAATGGCTAGAACAGGACTGCCCAACCCTGTTCCTGGAGATCTACCATCCTGTAGGTTTTCACTCCATCCCTAACAAAGCTCACCTCATTCAACAGCTAGAGCAGGGCTGCCCAACTCTGCTCCCCAAACTATACCATCCAGATGCTTTTCTGCACCAAACCCATCAAATCAAAGGAGCAAGTTATGGGCTCCCAATGTGAAGCTCTCTACATGTGTCTAATACCATGTCTCATACAAATGATTAGGTACGTGTGCAAACCCATTTCATTTCTCTATCTTTGTGTTTCATTGGACCATAGCTCAACCTCATATTTGTGATGAGAACCGACTAAAACAATTCAATGACATCTTTGTCAAGACCGTCACCCATGATCACCTGTGGGCTCTCTCCTTAAAATGCTTTGCAGTGGTCAGAGAGGGTTGGGGTCCCAGGGTTCGGCCCGACATTAAGCTTCAGGCCACTGAGCCATTCATGGGTTGATGTGGACGAGCGTCTTTTCATATCAGAGTGGGCCTTTTGTGCCCTGGCTTTTGACTGAGGGCAAGATCAGCGGTTTAGAGTCCAGTGAGAGGTCATATTTTGGGGGCCCAGATGATGGGGGGGGGCAGATCCTATTTTTGTTCAGCCTTGTGATTTCAATTTTCCTGATCAGTAAACATAGGCTTACCCTCCCCAGTTGAGTGCTCATTTACAGAGGCCCTTCTAGGTTGAAATCTCAGGGTGCATTTCGAAGGCAAAGTATGTGCGAGATGCTTGTTCAGCCTATGAACAGCATGTGTACTATCACTGAGTATGCAGTATGCTGGAAACACATGAGGCTCAGAACATCCCTTTCATCTAGTCTTGGCTTGTTCCTGAGTAATTTTAAAATCAATATTACATCCCCTAAATATTCAACCGTCGTTTTCAAAGTCGTTTTCTGACAGAAAACACGTGAATACTGAGAGCACAACAGTACAAAGTGATCGATTTGTTTTCTTGACTAATTTTTTATATATCCAATTTGACAGCCCTTCTGGTGTCAATTGATGTAGCCTAGTGGTTAAGGTGACAGACTGCAACGCAGGTGACCAAGATTTGAACCCTGGTCAGTTGTGCTTTTTAAGTAGCAATGGTAGCATTTTTCATGTATAAATAATTGATGGGGTTTTTGTTCTTTTTACTTTTTCCGCATTTTTTTACCTTTCCGTTGTATTCATAATCTTATTAATTTGCTTTTTTTAAAAAAAAAATAAATCTGCTCCGGTGGAGCCAAACTTCATTTTTCTTTGTATTTATTGTCTTTGAATGGGATGGTATAGGCTATAGGACTGGCAGAAATAATAATTAAAAAAAAATATTTCTAAAGTCTAAAAATTAAAAACTGGTTGTATTTGGGTGGAATATATGCCTGTAGTGACATATAAGTGAAATTAAATGAGTTTTACAGTTTAATATTTGAGAAATCTGATTTGGCACACAAGGTACCTGAATTGCCAATTTGGAGAAGCCACCAAGACATTCTTCTCTAATTTTGTTCTGATTCACTTGATTAGAATATACTTTGGCACAGATAATGGTGAGATTCTGTGCTGTAAATTTTTAGAGGTTTCAGACTGCAACTGAATAAGTTTACAAGGAATAGAAATAAAACTTTGTTTGGTGCAAAATGAGATCTTTCATTTATACTGTGTTCCATCTTAATTTACTCTGACTCAGTGACATATATACTGATTTTAACACCATGGCAGAAACCCCAAAAGGTTTTACCTTTATTATGATACCAAGATCATTCAAATGGACCAGATAGTTGCAGAGATATACTCATTTCATTTTGGGCTTGCCATTTTCGAAAAAGAGCCTCAGGGCTTAAGGGGTTAAATTGCATTTCAGTAAATCTTATTCAGTTCAGGAAACTTGTTTAAATCTTTGTCTCCTTTATTGTAATTTAAACAATCGTGACATTTCAGATAGATAGCCTGCAATGCGGGATGTGCTATAAGCACATTCTGAAGTTAACAAAGTATTGCATCTTTTTTTTATGAAAGTGAAAAGAACCCTTTTCCCCCCACGATTGAATTTAAAAGGCCAATTTAATCTCTACATGATTGCACTCAGAAGGAAACTGCTTACCTGGCAATGGATTTTCAAATGATTAGAAAAATTTTTCAGTCCAGGAAAATGATTAAAAAGAGGTCAAGACTACTTATCAGTTGAAAGGAAATTTTTTGTGCCCCCTAATTTCTGCAGGCCAGCCGTCACTGGTGTACGCACAGCTATGGAGTATTCTGTGAACACAGAGCTCCTCGTACTGCACAGTATGCCCCTGTGACCTCTGGGACTCCAGCATGCTCATTGCCATGATAAACAGCGGCGGTGCTGGTGTAGTGAACTATTCTTACAAGCATTTATTTTTTTCCCTCGGGGTATTTTCCTTACCTTAGCACTGACCGCTGAGTGATCTGTGAGTATCTTCTGCCAATCTTTTGCCTTTGATCTTCTGCCAAACCCCCAAAGGGATCAATAAGAAGTTTGGTGCGCAGGTACATATGGCTGCGCAGATTCAATTTTGTTTGAGGTGTCAATACTCAACATGGAACATGGCCGCCAGTCGGCCATATTTAAAATTGCACTATATGATGCTGAAGAGCTTTTGAAAGCAGCCATAATGCTGAAACTCTGTACACACATACTTCTGAGGACATGGAAATAAAAAGTTTTGCTCTTAATTTACTACAATACTGCTTGCTTGAGCAACACACTTATGCTCAATAGCCAACTGGTTTACTCTTCAGTGTATAATGCTGGGTACAATAAAATTTTCCGTGATAGAAAGCAAAAAAATATCCACGGTTCAAGATCAAATACACAAAGAGCAGAAGCACGTTTGATGCAGATTTTGAAGTTTGCATGATAACTAGCATTAAGCCGTTTCGAAGCCTCCGCAAGTTTCAAAATGTTTGTTTATAGTAATAGATTTTTTTTCTTGACATTAATCTGAGCGGACATTTCTAAACATCCCGATTATACAGGAGTGGTGACAGATCATTTGTAAGTGGGATTGAAAATGAGCGGGAATTATACACGAGGACGAATTGTACCTCATACCGCTTCACTGCTCCTGGTTGTTCCTGGGTAAAAGCAGATATTTCCTGGGCGAGTACAGATGCCATTAAGAGCACTGAATGAGGAGAGAATAAATGGCTGGGGGGATGTGAAAGGGCTGGGATCTCTCTGAATACATCTCTCCCGCCGGGAAGTGTATCTCCAGCCTTTTACACACATCTATCTACAGGTCAGCACAGTCCCTCCAGCCTCCTGAGAAACTGTACTGCGAGTCCCATCGCGTGAGGGAACTCGGCTGTTTTATTTGTGCACAGAGAACGTCCATAAAGCACTGAACATTGTGGCGCCAGTAAATTTAACAAACATTTTTCACATTTTCAAAAGAAAAATATCACTTGCAAGAGAAAAACATTATCTGCACAATTGAGAGCAAAAATGTATTAAATGTCCCGACACGGAGCTCAGTTAACATAATATTCACTTCACAGGGGTAATGACCTGCATAAAGACTGAGTTTCATCATTGCACATAATTATATTAAAATGCGATCATGGTATCCCGCGGCATTTTGTATTTGACTGCAGAAATTCACATTTGATTGCAATAATTCACTGCTGAAAATGTCAAAGTCACATTTCAAACTGAATGAAATCCGACGGCATGAAAACGCTAATTTCACCCAGAGATGGGATCCTCGTGAGTGACCGCAGTAGTTTAGTCCTCCATCAGAGCTAGCTTTGAACTAACAGTGTTTGATGACTCAGCCTCTGCTTTAGGACTCTTCTCTGGAATGTTCGACATGTCATGGTTTGTGAGGCGTGCGTGTGTTTTGGACTTTTCTTTGTGGCTCTCGTCCCGGGACGAGATTGAATTTCCTTTCTATCGGATTCTTTAACAAGCTGGCTGATTGAACTGGGGCAGCGCTTCCTTGGACTCTATAAAAGCCGGAAGTCCGCCACACCTCCTTTGCTAGAGTGTCTGTTTGTAGCTAAGCACTATAGCCGAAGATATCTCTAGTCAGAATTTGTGTGACTTTATATCTTCCAGTTATTTTTGGAGTTCCTTCCTCTTTAGGAATTTTCCCTTTTCTACTTTTTCTCTCTCTCGTATTGCTTCCGTTTTTTTCGGACTATTATACGTCCTTTGGAAGCGCGAGTACTTTCTGGCGGTCTGTGTGATTCTCTGTGTTTGTATTGTGTCTGTGCTGCTCGTTCTCTCCCTGGCCGCTGCACCTGGCCTCTCTATTTTACCAGCCTTTACATTACAGACACTTATGGAATTTCTACTTCCTCCTCCATGGCCAGTGTACCCCTAATGAAAATGTCTTATATTTATGTCTCAGTAATACTACAGTATTTATGACATAACTATAGTATTATTATAGTTTGCAGAGTATAACTAGAGTTATACTATAGCCATCACATTATAACTATAGTATTGCCCAAGAGTGCCATAATATTACTATAGTTCACACAACTGTATTGCTGTAGTTTGAATAACTATGGTAGCACTATAGTAATGCGACACTATTGTGGCAAAAATACCATTCACTTACCATAGGGTAACCATAGCTTGGAACTACAGTAATTTTTCATGAGGGACTCATCAGATCCAGGGTTTATTGCCATCTACAGAGATCCTGCCATGCGGTGGTTCATCTTTATTCTGCCCCAGGAGATGAACTCTTGGCATGTGGGTTTGATTTATACCTGAACAATGTGCTTCAAACATTAAACCATGTTATGATGGTGATCGTTTTTGCATGACACGGTGCGTCAGCACCTCTTTCCTGCTTGTGTTCTGCTGACTGAAAAGGCAATGACACTGCTTCAGGTGCGAGAAGCATTTTATTTATTTTGAATTTAGAGTTTTCAGTGCTGCAAGATACGTTGTAGATGCACATGCAGTCCAGCTGCTGACCTGGTATATTTGCCTGAGGAAGCACTGGCTTTACTCTGTGCAAAATTAAATCTGTCCATCTTCGCTTGTCTGGCTTATTTCAAACCTTTGAAATTGGCTTTGCATATCAAATATGAACATGACTCAAGATTTGGCGACCATTGCCTGCTTCTCACTTCAAATCTTTCCAAAAATGAATTTTAGCCAATTTTAGTTTTGGTGGAATAAAAGAAGGTGATCTGCCATATTGTTCTAGTTTTTACAAATCAGGCAAAAGGTTTTTCCAAAACTAGAAAATGCAGAATAAATCCCAACACCCCCCGCCAAACATGTTTTGATTTAAGTTGGCTCTTCCGGTGGATTTTAACTCACTCATTGGAAGGTGAATGACCCTCGTGTTGTTGACTCCAAAAGTTTATTGCATCTCTGTGGTGATATGAGGCACTGGTGTTACACTATTTGTATACCCCAGAGGAAACAGAAAACCGCAAAAAGTGACCCACACTAAAGTTCCCTCAGAGTAAGAGCAGGACTGCTGCACTCTTCCTCAGCACAGAAGCCAAATGCACTACTTCTTGATCTCACCAGAGGAGGCACTGTACCTCTGCAGACTCACTGCTGTCTGAGTCCTGTGGTTCCCAGAGATTAGGAACTCAAAGGCCAGGCCCATGCCTGTTACAGTTTAATAGTGCAGGATTTTCTGTGAAATGGGTCACTGTGGCACAACAGTAATACAGAACAGAATATGTGACATTTGAAGCAGTACTCTGGTCCAAGTAGATGAAAAAATAAATTACAGCAGTTAAATTAATGTCCTTGTCTCCTGTTTGCATTTCGCCCGCATGAGCAAAATAATGCTGGCATTTGTCTTTTTTTAGCACTGATTCTCATCATTGTTTGAGATTTTATCAAATCTCCGGAGTGCCCATGTTTCTGACAGTATTTTTGGTCCCAGCTATCCGTCCCGGCTATTTCACAGAGGGTCATTTAATCTGAATGACCTTCTCTCTTTTGAATGCAGATTTTTTTTAGAGTATTTCTTTTCAAAGTTTGAATTTAGAGGTCCAGGATATAAGTTTCAGTTACTGTTGGTGACTATCATATCACACTGTTATAAACTGGCACCTTTTTTGCCAGATATTTTAACTGTAA